AATACTTAAATTTACCGAAGATTTCGTAATGGAGTATTCCTTTTATCAAAGTTTTAGATTGAAGTATTTTTTTATTAGACGCTTCTAAAAACTTACCTTTTTCGGTTCGGAAGTCAATCAAGATGGCAGATGTGGTAAACTGCCGTCGCTTTTTGGCAGCGTGGACACGATACAAGGCCAATAAGGATCAGCAGTATGACGGTAGTATAATTATTCAGGTAAATATCTCCCTGCACCATTTTCAGCTTCCCAATGATGTTTGCTGACGTGGCGGAATGATCAGTATCAACAATTGGCAATGCACTTTGAGCAGCTTCTCAAGAACAGCGACGAATTAAAGCCTTTTGAAGCAGATCTCACTCGAGTAGTAAGTGACATAGCTTTGCTTCAGAGTAATACAGATTCTTTCATGCCGGGCCGAGTTTTGCGAGCATCGGAGATCGTTAAGCTGCAAGAGGAGCGTATGAAGTCTATCACTGCTCTAGATCCCCCCGAACAAGACACATTTACCAGTGAAATTACAGAGAAGGAGGCACTTTTACCAAAACCCAAGATTCGCACCGACTTAAGTCATGATGACTTCAAATCAATGCTAGAGGTTGCTGCTCCACATGAGGAAAAGCTATCAACTAAAGCAATTAGAAAGCGACTGGGACTAGTGGATCGATCGGGAGGTCAAACGAGTGCATCCGAAACGGTAGCACGTGAAGAGCAGGAATCCATACAGTCGGAGATGATATCACTGGCAAAGCAGCTAAAGGATAGGACGCACACCATTAATCAGTCGCTTTCAGAGGATGTAAAGATCCTAGACGCAGTGGGACAAAGTGCAGAGCACAACACGGCACTGCTCGATCGTGAAAATGCTAAATTGAAAAAGCAATTGGCTTATAGTATCGGTCTATGGACATCCCTTTGGCTCGTGGCGATGCTAGTCATCGTCTTCATCATCACATATTTCTATATGAAGGTATTTTCGCGACGATTTTAAACGAAGTACTTACGGTGTAAAAAGAGCTTTAGATATTATCGTACTGATTGCACAGTACTTTATTGTCACAACATGAGATACCTCTATGTACATACAAAAGCAACAATCTACTTCTAACGTTCGTAATGAACTAAAGGTGTATAAGCAGCATCATACCAGTCTCGCGTGGTATGAAGACCTCGCCACCCGCGAAAAGTACGCCGGCTTGCGTATTCTGCGATGCAACGCACTGCCACCTCCTTTTCCAAGTACTTGATAATCACACCTCCGACCGCCACAAGAAGGATGTCGTCGTGTATGTAAGCCAGGTATGCGAGCCCGCAAACAAAAGCTATTACTTGATTAACAACAGAGCTAGCATTCCATAGCGTGAACAACTTCCCAAAAAAGACACTTTTTCTCGTGATGAATATCAATCCGAGTATCGGTGACCCAGCGGCTGCTGCAGGCAAGATTCCTAAGAATGACCACAGCGCGGTCTGCGGATGTCAACGATACACAGTATTAAAAGCAGCAAGTACAACTTATTAGGACTACACACGTACCCGAGAACAGCCCGACTCTTCCGTAGTGGGGTCTCGAACTTGTACACAATAATATTCCACAAGAATATAAAATACAGCGCCCATGTCGGCAATCAGAAGCACCACCATCACTACAGGAAATGACCACCGGATAGGAAGCTTAGAGCGTGGTAAGTTGCGCAGACGGAAAAGTGGATATATTGGTGACCAGAGACCAATGAGCAATTTTCTCACTGTGCCACTTGTCAACATAAGTAATGACAAAAGCGCTCTCGATTGCTGCACCTTGCAGGTGTTTTGAGCTTTTCTTCTTGGTATGAGACTATCATTATCATCACTAGAGTCGTCAGTGATATTTTCGAGCGAATTACGTGTTGGATGTGCGGAAAGAGCTTCCATCCTAATGCGTGAGTACCGAAAATCCGTAGACCGTGGATCTGTTACAGCCTTCGCATAGTCGTTCTTTTCGGAACGTAATTGAAGAAAATGTGGATCGGATGTTGACGAGTCATATTTCATTGGTTGTGGCATCACACGTAAATTTAGTCTTGAGACACGAAACGCCAGCTTGAAAGGTTCGTGTGGAAATGACGCAAAGGTTTCGTCGACGTTTTCAAGTGCAATGGGTTTAAAACAACTACTATTTCCATCGGCACCAACCATAAAATCAGCAGAAAATATCCCGAATGTCACAGAAAAATCATGTTTAACATGCTTCGCGTTAAACTCTTTCAAAAACATAAAAATATCACGAGACACGTTTATAGCTTCGCGCACACGACGGAGAGCAGATGATGGCTGTGGTAGCACGCGCAGCTTTTCATTGAGATCAGCCACAAAGTCAATCCAAAAGTTATGTTCTAGTAATTCAAGACGGGACGGAATGGCGCGCACAACTATGTCGTTGGTATCGAGGTGATATGGCCTGAAGAATGACCCACTACCACCAACCACAAGCACTTGGTCTTCAAAATTTACAGATTGGAACTTTACCAGGTTCAATGATAGCGAAGAACTTGATTTTAAAATAAGAACGTCAAAATAACAGAGGGAGAAATCTGGGCTAAACCCAACTTTTAGTTGTGTGCCATGCACTCGAAAGTTTACATCACGAAAAAATCGACCACCATATTGCATGGTATATTGGGAAAGCTTCATAACTCGATGTAGCTGACGCCTTCGCATAAAAAGCGTGCTTAATGGTGGAACAGTAGCGAGTAAGAAGTGATACAGCCAGCCTTCCCAATTTGAAGGATTCCATTCCACCAGTTTGTTGCACGTCGCGGCAAAGTTCGCGTATGTGCTTTCTTGAACGATGTCGCAAAGGTTTTTAGGCAAAAAATATGGATTAAGTTGCCAAGCACTCTTGAGGTGGTTATTTCCAGCAAAATATAAACGAGCGACGTGGGACTGAAAATCTTGGTCAGTCAAACGAGGGGTCAATTTGCGTGTAAGTGTTTTAAGTGATGACTCGTCCCGCATTCTCTGTGATCTGTACCGTGCATAGCGACGAAGCTCGGATTCGGAGCTTCGATGAGAAAGAAAGCCCCATGCCCCAAAAATCAAGCTCGTCATACATAACACGAGGACGACGAAGCCAACTGGGCCACCAATAGGATTAACGAATCGCTCGAAGGGTGTTAGACAATCGAGACCATTGCGCCCTTTGTAGCAGGCGTATGAGCAATTACCACGCATATTAAATTCTGAGTGTACAGGTTTCTTCGTGCATGAACCACAAACAGTCGCCCCTATTGTTGCTGTAGTCTCTCCGATTCCACATAAAGTGCAATTGCTCCGACCAGACCCAGTAGTGATACTACCGATAGGACAAAAAGAGCACGAGGTGCTTCCTGTCGAGCCTGCAAATGTACCAGGTGGGCATAACTCACATTTTTTGAGCCCCAACTTTGCACCAAATGACCCCAGTGGACACTTCTGACAATCTTTCTTGCCGAATTCCGGATTAAAATGGCCAACAGAACATGTATCACACTTAACAGCACCAGCGTGGCTTGAACAAGTACCTGGCTCGCACGGAAAGCACTTCGAAAATCGCCCAGGACTATGAGTTCCACCCGGACAAGGCAAGCAGAAAACACCACCACGTCCTGGAAGACAGTTATAACCAGCCATGACACCCGGACCGCCGTTCTCACCTCCCGTGCTCACCCCTCCATCCACTGAAATATGCCCTCCGTCTTGAATAAATTTCTCCCCATTGCCAGCAGTTGTATCATTTGTTGTATCAACATATGTAATACTAATAATTCCACCCCCGCCCCCACCTCCAACCTTTCCTTCGTCTTCATCAATCTCAGTCGGAAGTAAAATCGGGTTCCATACTAAAGACCGCATTCGGATCTCACTATTAACAGATGATTGAGATGTCGAGCTAGCACCTCCCTCCAGCGCAATAGCACCTCCACCAGCAATATCCGCAATAAAAAGTGACAGTGATCCACCGGATCCACCACCCCCGCCCTTAAAGCCCGCTCCGCCCCGTGCAGAAATTATAGCCGACTTAGTAAGATTAAGCATCTTTGAACCGATGTAAATGATGCCACCTCCACTGCCCCCACTGACCTTACCCGACGAATCTCCATTTGCAGCACCACTACCTGGCCAAATAGGCCAATGCTGTTCGTCAGACAGTATATTAATCCGACTAGCCACTGACTGCAGGGAAGAATCTTTTGGAATGTCATAGGTTGCGCCACCACCACTACCTCCAGGTAAGACATTTCCACCTCTTCCACCATGACCGGCTCCACCGCTAGCTTCGCCAAAGACAAAGCTCTTACCTGGGCCTATTCCAGAGCCGCACCCAAGATAAGAGCTAGAAATTGCGCCCTCGATTGTCATTTTGTCGTCAGAACATAATATCATGGACCCTGCTGAAATGTTCCCTAATTTAGCTTCCTCGAAAGCAAAGACATTAATCGAGTACAAGTAATCATGGTGCGCTGACTCTCGCAATATTCTACATGCAGACGCATTTGCTTGAAGCTGAATTGCTCTGCATTCCAGCACTGGTCCACTGTTCACATTGATGATCGACACATTTGCAGCTGAAATCGACAATTTAAGAAGTGGAGAATCGAATGGCATGTCAAGGAGGCCTAGACCAGCTGCATTAATTCGCAACTCAACTTTACCCAACTCCACAGCTTGCGGGCGTAGCTCGACATCTCTGAGGCTAGTCACGCTTATTAAGGGAGTTTCACCCGTGCCAAGATTGCGCGTATGATCCAGTAGAGTGTTTAAAGGGTAAATAAAGCCGTCTATTATGGTTGAAGATTCTGTTCGGATGTTAACTTGCGCTTGAAATTGAATTTTCGAAAATCTGTCAAGAAAATATCCACCACGGGCATCGATTGATAGAACACGCACCATGACTAATGCATTTTCAAACGATATGTCATCCCCAAGTAGACTTAAGTCGAACAGGATCCGCTTGTGAGGTGGCGACGGTCCAACGGAACCCTGTTTGACCGGTAAGGCGAAATGTCAGACGAGTATGATTACAGAGTAATAAAAACGTACCTGAAGCATTATTTGCGATGCCACTAGACGAATCATTTGTTCGCGACGAAGAATAGTGAATTTTGATCCAGAGTCGAGCTGTCATTCACGGATCATGAGACGACGTCAAAGCGTGCATTGTTGGAATATGGCAAAACCATTTTCAAATTCTTACCACAATTGAACTATTCATGCCTCCAACACTTTCCTGAAAGCATAAACAGTCAGAACATCGCGCCAGTGCACTTCTTACTAAAGCCACAAAACTTAAAATTACCTTCAGCTGGATGACTGAAGCGCACACCGTAGCCCCACCGCTTACCAATAAATGCACAAGTGATTCTGGCAAAAAAAGTGCACCCCTGGATGTCTGCTGAAAAATTGGTGTGCATCCAAAAAGTTGAATGCGCTTGATGGGCCCCACATTTGCCAACCGAGCTCCCTTAATAAGTAATGTACTCACTGACGTGTCATTACCATCGAGCCGTTGGATCCTCGACTCACTATCAACAAGCTCTTCGTTGCTCTTTAATGAGTGCTGCAGTTTAAAAATGGTCCCATCACCTCCCAATTGGCACCATTCGATTGACGCGTTTTTATCAAAGCTTATGCCGCCACCAAACGCTTCAACTCGATCAGGTGCCAACTCCTCCGCGTCCATGGAATCAAAAAAAATTCGTCCGCCTCCACCACCTCCTCCACCACCAGAATATTTTTCCATGTCAAAGCGACTTGGGTCTCCTCCATTCGCTTGAACTGTCGAATTACCGAATATTCGTCTCTTCGCAACAACAACAATAGTGCCTCCTGCACCAGCACTATCATAACAATTTAAACAAGCATTTCCTCCATTTGCTAGCAGAAGTCCATTGAGCTCCACATTATTCTCTGTCTCCAATCGAATTCGTCCGCCTCCCCGACTTTCACTGTTGCCTCCACCACTACCATACCCTCGAAAATCAGCAATATTAGCTGATACATCCCCCACTGCTCGAAAAAAATCGTTTGGAGGAACATCGTCACAAATTTGATAAGTACTTGAAAGCGATGCACCGCCGATGCCTCCATAGCTACCACCCATTGCTGTCCAGGAGTTATAACCGGGTCCAAACTTGAGCCCACGAGCCGATACATTTATAGATGACTGCTCGTCAATCGATAAGTAAGCGGCATATATATCAACAGCACTGGCCTGTAATTGACTGTTGCGGATAGATACCGAAGTCAGATTCATATTCAGCTGGAATATTAGTTCGGCATGGACGCCAAATAGAGGCGACAGCGCTGAGCTATCTAACTTGACATTAACAATTTCCAGCAGCGTGAGATTCTCCTGAGCAGGCACCGTAAACTTACAGGCCACATAATACTCATTATACGAGCCAATAAAGTGAATGCTTGAGCACTTGAAAATGTTTTTAATCTCGGTCTTATTATCAATCCGGTAGATCGTGGAGGGCACGGAGACCGGCATCTCATCCATAAAGCAATATTCAATCGAGATAAACACTGCACATGTCAGCAAGAGGGGCGATGCAAATGAGTAATAGGTGCGCAGCTTCCGCATTCAGTGTGCTTTGATCAGAGTGATGGTAAAATCGTGGTAAGTACGAGCCCTTTCCCCCCATACAATCAATTGATCGGCAATATGAGCGAGAGTCTGTCGCTCGGGCGCCCGCCGTTATTGCGCTTCCGTCTACTGCATCAGGACCTTTTGGCCTATGTGGGACAGAACATGGCTGATGAAAATGCACTGCAATTCACGGCAAATCTAGTGGCGGCTGCTTCGGATCTTTTACAGCCTCTATCACTGGTACCACCTAGCACCTCGGAGCGCGCGGCGCTTCAAGCCAACGCAGTCAAGGTTATTGGCAAACATGTGGAGATTTCGCCGCTAATTCAACAAGAAATTTGCAAGCTAAGCGACGAGTTTCGTATAAGCGAAAAGACGTGTTTTGAATTTTGGTTTATGGCTAGTGATCAGCAACAGCGCGAGTGGGTGGAACGCGCGGATCAACTGGCACCAGGCACAATCGCTGACTCGGTTCAAAATGCAGCACGTTACTTTTTGATCTCGGAAATGGAATATAAATTGCACTTGTTGAAGGAGCTGCTTCGACTACGTCTAGAAACGCAGCTAGACAAACCACGCGCGCAATTCATAATATCCTTTACTAACAAGTTGTTGATGGAGAACTTGCTGCCTAATTTGGTAGCAGCTTATGACGAGCAGCTCACACAACTAGCACAGATAGCTAAAATGGAACAGAGCGTGAGTTTCTGGCACACGCTTGTAGCCGAATGTCTGGTTTTCATTGTGTCCAGCACTCTGACGCTCGCTACAGAAGTACAAAAGCTTGCTAATCTGCTCAAGATGCTCTGTGGACGCTTACAAACGGTAGTAGCCAAAGTTTCACCGCATATTGTTAACTTTTCGTCGTTTGCCGAGCTATTTGAAGGAGGTTCCTTAGGTGGAACATCGCCCGAAGGAGCGGTCAGACAGGTGTCTTGCATACTGCAAACTATCACTGCAATTCAGGTGGCACTGTTTGTTGTACTCTTTCAAAATAAAACAAAAAAATTGGATCGTGAAACAGGGGAGATGGAGATCGGTGCTGCGTTGTACCTACGTGAACACGCCCCGGTAGTGAAGGAGCTACACCGTATTCTATACGAGGAAGAGTGGGAACAAAAGCACCTTCAGAGCGTTGGGATGCTCGCCTGGGCCGGCTTTCTTGCTGAAAACGACGATGGCAACAGCAACAGTAGAAACGTGATCTTTGCTGAAGCAGAGGCTGCCTCTGATGTGGTCAAAAAGGCAATTGAAGAGCGTGTTTTTCATACTTTGGTGGAAGTGCAGCTTAAGTATGTGCCAGATCGCAAGCGTGACTTGCAGCTATATTACATTCACGAACGACATTTTGAGCTTTTATTTCATACATATTCGTCAAAAATGATGGTCGCTGTACCGACGGTGGCTGATAAGGCATCGCTTGCTGCTTTGCAGTCTGAAAATGACGGTGAAGTGGTGGCTTGGGATGGCGACTGCCTCGAAGATATAGTTGAATTTGCAACAGCGTTGTGTGCTCGTAATTCGACGTTTTGTCGTTCGTTCTGGCGTGATGTTAATGAACACCTCGATTCCCATGACAGCACCAATCCCGAAAATAGTAACGACAAGGAACAGCGGCGGAGCGTAATGCGGCTTAATAGCGTGAGTGGGGCAAGCTGCCACGACTTCTTAATCGCCTGTCGTGATGCCGCGCTCAAAAACCCTGGATGCTTAGCGGCTTACATTCGATTGGTAGCTGCTGCCGCTCGCGGACCAGATTGCGCTCAGCTAGCTTTTCATCACATTAAAATGAATCCACAACAGCTTGGTTGGGATCATTTCTTTGCTGTAATGGCAAAGTATCAGCGGCTTCTTACTGATGCTGAGAAACCTGCCGGATATCCGTCGCTGATGCCTGGTGGTGTTTCGCAGGGAATCGGAGTTGGCCATAGCTCGTTCAATGGCTTAAAAAGTTCCGCTGGTCCTGGACCCCGTTTCATTCGCCCTAAGGAGTTGGAAGCATTAGAAAGCATTCAAAAACTTATTCAGGAAGTATTGGCAGACTCGCAACTGGCCCTGATCTTCTTTCACAATCACGACTGGTCTCCGATCCCAACGTTCGTGGCTTTTCTGCAGTGCCGCATTCCTAGCTCACTCAAGGGTTCAATCATGAAGACATTAGCTGCCTTTGCACGTGTTCCAGATATCGCGCCGTTTGTGTGGCGCCAGGTAGACGCGTTGCAAATTTTGCGCACAACTGGGGACACGACGAATTACGGAAAAGAAGATATCAGTTATGAACTTGAGCACTACGAATCGCTGAGTAGAACATATCCGGCAACAAGAGGTTTTGTAACGCTTCTCTACGAGCTCTTTAAGAATCCTCGCGCCTGGAAGTCGTTCGAAGGTGATGGCAATGTTGCAGCAATCCAGTATTACTTTGAGTTTTTGCTTGACAATGTGTTTTTAAAGTTTGATTTGCGAAAGTATGAGCGAGAAGAAGAAAAGTGGGAGCTTGTGAACGGCACTCTTGCCATTTTCAAAAAACTTCTTCGAAGCGTGGATACCTTTACGACAGAAGGCAGCTTGTCTTATCAACTTCTAGCTCGGTTTCTTTCGAGCAATCCGTTGCTAAACAAAGTGCTGTCAATCATTTCTGGCGATGATGGAGTTGAGAATCTGGAAAGTACGTCAACAGATAGGCATTTGGAGCATGCCTTTTTTTACTGCCTTGACATCGTGAAACGCGAAACTGAGGCTAAGCACGGCTCACTAAATTTTGTAATCGACGTCGCCAAAAAGCCTAGCGATACGTACCTCACCAAAACCACAGCAGTTGCTTCCTTACGTGAGCGCTGTGTGCAACATGCACTTGAACTTATATTGCTGCTGCTGGAAAACGATGTTCAGTTTGTAGATATCGATATCAACCGTCAACTTTCGCATCGACTGCAAGTGGAGATGATGCACACCATTTTGTGCCGCCATCGCTTTGACCTTGTTAACATTGTCAAGTATATCAAATATTCTAAATCAAAACACATTCCACATCTGTCCACAGCGATTTTACGTATTATCAGTACCCGCATTAGTGGTGGTGACCTTATCAGCATACTTGTTGACAGCGGATCTGGTGCAGACATTATGATTGGTTACATGAATCGCCTACTCAATGTTTATGATAACGATGAAGATGAGCAAGTTGAGGACGAGGTTGAAAGCAACAATGAGCAAAGTGTCACGGGACTGAATACTGGAAGCACTCAGTCAAGAAACTGTTATCAAGATACTCAAATCTTATCCTCCCCGCACGAGTTGTTTGAGAGTGATACGTCTCCACCCTCTATTCGTGGCGCCATCCTTGACCTACTACTTGAAAATTTGAACAAGCCTGCGCCTAACCTGGCACATTTACTACTTGGCAACATCAAGCAAACTGGAACATCAAAGGATGCAGCCTTGCCAAAATCGTATGTAATGACCGGTCTTGAAGCTATAATTACCTTAGTGATGCACGCAGACTTTGGCGTGGAGACGCCAGAGCTAGCAGAGCGGTGCCACCATGTACTTTACTGTCTAGTTACGCAAGAATTTTCTTCGCCTGATGCTATCGCTGCACTTGAAAGCGTCCCAAATGACTTTTTTGCGTCTCAGATACAATTATTTAGCAGTGTCTACCATGTATCAAGGAGAAAAACAGCTGCCACTATGATCGCCGAGTTAAATATGCGGGGGTGGTTTTTCAAAACGCTTGCAGTGTACTTGCATGTGGGGCTGCAGAAGGAGCCTCCGCGCATGAAAAACCTGAACAAGCTGATACATCAGCTGCTGTCCGTAACAGAGGGTGGGAGCCGAAACGACGTTCGTGCTATTGAGCGACAGGAACAAATGCTGCTGCTGCGCCTGCTTGATGAGTGTACTTTCCACTTCTTGCCACCCGTGGTCCCAGTTAATCGGCAAGTTGTGGCCATGGCTGAAGAGTTGACTGCAGCTGTGGGGCAGGGTTGTTATTATAAATGGCTAAAAATTGACATTGAGCGCTTTTGTCATGATCTTCAGAAACTAGATTTGACCGCAGTCGAGGATGGAATAGAGGATTTTTACTCTGCGTCAAACAAAAGGTTTCGTGTGAATGACGATGGTGAAAGCAGTACCAGTAGCAAAAACAATACTGAAGCAGCAGTGGAGAGGCTAATTCAATGGGCTATACAATGGAACATCTACTCAGAGAGAATTGCTGCCGAAAGTCATTCGCTCAATTCACTGCGCGAGTTGATGGAGGTTATTGTGCTTGATTACCTAGTGTTGCCTCGCGTACACGAATCAGTTGTACCGCCAACTATGAGGGAGGGATCCGATGCTCTTGCGTCCGAGGAAGTGCGATTGGAATTAATGAGTGGTATAATCGCGTCTGTGCTTAGTAAATTGACTGATAAAACCGGTGCTGCTGCCCAATTATTTGAGATCGCTGCGACGAATGCTCTGATGCTCTTTTCGCAGCTCAGCTATACTGATGACGAAAGTCATTCGAGCGCTCTTCCATTAAGCCGATACGAACAATCCATGAGCTTTTTGGAAATGCTCTTTCGTTCCGTTTACAGCAGCGCCGCAGCAACTGGAAATCCGTCTGCTGCACGTAATTCGCGGACACTGTTATACACTTGTATCCTTCATGTGCTGCATATGCTCCCAAGTCACACTGTGCAAGATTTACCTTTGGCTAATGTTGGACTTGCGATACCTGCACGCAGTCAGGAACAACGTATTCGACATTTGCTTTCTAATCAGGTTGTTGATCTAATTTGTAAGGATGCAAGCGACGGCGAAGACACTTTGAGCATGGCTCTGGCCGTGTCTGCCTTGGAAACTCTAGTTGGGTTTGAAGGTAACTCATTGGTTGTCGCAGTTATCCGTGAACGTGGATATCTCATGCACTTTATTGACATCCTTAAAAAGCTGAGTGATATGGATGCCGCGGTCTTCGAACGAAGCAGTGGCGGCTCGACAATGGTAAAAAGCAAAGTGATGTCTGATGGAATGGACGCTACGACGATTGGCTCGATATACGAGTGCTTTTTATCGCTATTTGCCAGGGTTGCTGAGACACGGGACGGAGCCATAGCTTTGCTGGAAGGTGGATTAATCCGTGTGTTGTCTGATGTCCACAACCTGCCAACGCATCTACCGCAGCATCTTTTTCAACAGAGAAGTGCTCAATCTGGTGTTTCTGCGGAAGTTTTCCAGCGTATCGAGTTTGTATACTATCGAAAGTGGCTCCCCATGGCTCGATTGCTAAGTGCATGTTGCGCCTCTTTGCCGAAAAATCGGACACTTACCAGCCAAATACTTCAATTCGTTTACAAAAATCGAAAGCTGTTCACGTCAGCGCTGAAATTGTGTGCGAGTGGTCTTCCGTCGCAGCTTATCTCGATAAATCTTCTTCGAGAAGTATCGTATGTGACGTTTGTATTTCGTTATGTAACTCAATTTACTGATTTGTGTGAGCAAACGCTGGTGGCGGCAAAGTGGGAGAAAATTTCACAACTGATCCTTCACGTATTTATGTATTTTAGCACAAGACTTGTGCCGCCAAGCGATGAAGCAGATGATATGAGCGACGTATCTAGTTCTACGTGGTGGCACAAGACAGTATTTGATGAACAGCGCACCGATGCAATCCAGTATGGCATACATGAAAAGCTGTTAGAGCATTGCGAGAGTGCAGCTGTGAAATCCAGTGGAAGCGCTAGTCTGCTTCACATGTCGTTATTGGACGAAGAAAAGTTGTATGCGTCTAGAATGATTTTATGCAACGCTGTGGCCTTCTGTGTCAGACGCATGATGTTTACTGTGGACGATAATAAACTTGGTAGAGTGCCTCCGTTGTTGTCCCTTAGTGACAAGACGCAAATGCAAAACGAAAGCCGATTTCCATCGATGTCATCGGTGGACCCTCGCGCATTTGCAGCGGCTACAGACCCTTTGTGGATCCATGCACCGTCGATTAACGACTTTACAATCCGCTTTGACTCAATAGTTTTTGCTTTGGAGGCCAGCAAGCAGCTTGTCGATGCGTTGACAGCTTTGAATAATGAAGCTGCATCGGGTCGCTCGAATTTGCTTTCGTCCGCTTCGTCGCAACAGCAATTAATTGGTCGGCGTGACCTCCAGCGCGAGATCAAACCACTGGAAAATTTGTTGGAATACCATGCCGACAGCTTGATGTTTGTCGTCGAGAATATGCTCGTGGTGTTGCTTTGCCATTTCACCCACTATCTTGGTCGTCCCGAAGCGGCATCCAGCGAAGACGTTGTTCATCACACACTTGGCAAAGTGCTTGTTATTGTCAGCGAAATTGAGGTACGCACAGTTTTTCATTTCCGCGCTAAATTTGTATTTGTTTACAGAAGTGATGCTGTTTTTAGAGTAATTCGTTCATTCACGCCATCGCCAGAAGACTACGCGAATTGGCGTCTACCGGATAGATATGACATGGTTTCACTACTAGTTTGGCCGCTAGTGTGGCTGAGCCGGACGCAAAATATTGAGAAATATTTTACAAATGTGAGACATCTTTATCCATTTTAATAGCCGTAAAATGCACGGTAAACGGGCTTTACATTGGCAAGTTCTGGACGTAAAATTTCTTCCTCTCTACGTGTGGATCGTTTCAAGGTCACTAGTAGCCCACACAGCAAAGTCCTGTCATCAATTTGATGAGCTCCCACTATGTTGCCTGAGTTAGTAGACATGTTTTTGATCGTGAGATTAATGCTTGCTCAAGATTTAACATATTACACGAAGGCTCTAAGATTTTACAATGAGCTACGGTTTGGTTCGCGAATACATGACGTCTGTGCGTAGTACATACTTGGCCCCTCGTGTAACTCGAGCACCTTCGTGCAACAAGCACCGATCGCCATGACCGTGCACGAGTGCTAAGCCTGTCATAGGAGTCACACTAAGCACTACCTCCTCCTTTTCACCAGCTTCATTGGCGTAGAAGATGGTATGGCCACCCTGCAGCTCCGAGTCTGTTGAGTCGTTCAAGTACACAAGTACCGTAAAGCGACTGTGGTAGCCTGTAATTCGATCAACATCGCTCTGATCTACATGACAGCCAAATCTCTGTCCTGCATTATAGCGGTAAAACCTTATCGCCGGATTCAGTCCGACAGCATGCATGCCCTCGTAACTTCTTACAACGTGTGGTTGTAGACGCGTCCAAAGCAGCTCCGCAAACGCCGGAAGACGTAGCAGAAGTCGGTCATTATCTCGAAATGCGTAGTTCCGACTGGCCCGCTGAGTTACGCGCTCAAAACCCGTTTGATCTGCAAATGAGCGCACACGCTGACATTCCACTCGCGATAAAAAAAACGGCAAGGAATAGATCAGCTCGTCGTGCAGATGCTTAACATGCAGTATGGTGTGCAGTGGATCGAGACGAAGTGCCGGCGGAACCTCATCTGTTTTACACACCGCAAAATTGCCGCTACTTTCCGACTTTTTCCTTCTCTTTGAGTTCGTGCCTATACTGCACTGCTTCTTTCCCATGTTTTCCAAAATTAGACATTTAAACTGTTGAGTTTTTTATCTAGCAAATGGTTAATTTTCTGTTTGTTAAATACGAATGTGAACGATGTGAAGGCCACATAAAAAAAAAACAAGACTCTAAACTTAAGTTTAAGTACGATATGCTTAATATGCCTACATAAATTTGTATCACATTTTGCACACTTTATCTCAGCCACGTGGCTTATAGTTTTTGCAGTTTTTAGTGCCGCATTCGCGATTCCGACGTATAGCTGCGCCGACCCCGTTGCGTCAATCAGGATAAAGCATGGCCGACTCAATTATATCATTACTGGGGCAGAACCCGACCGCTGGGATTGCAGTGGGCGGTGCTCTTGTCGCTGCTGCCATTGGTCTGACAGCTGCTAAAGCGCTAAGCAGCAAGGCAGCTCCGGAATCTAGTTCATCCGCCGCTAAAAAGAAGAAGAGCAAGAGCAAAAGCAAGAAGAAAGTGCTTGTCCCTACATATTCCGAAGAGGAAAAAGCGTCTAGTATTAATCTCGAAGAATTTGTGGATGTACGTACCTCGCTGACATAAATGTCGACTTCAGCTTGGGTGTACTTAAGCAGATTGAATTTGTTGATTGTAGGACGGCCCAGACTCAGAGGAGGAGGAAGCCATTCGCGCTGAAAAGCGGAAGCTGAAGCTGAAGCAGAAAAAGAAAAATGCAAAGGCTAAGCAACGCTTGACTGCTTCTTCTTCTGGCAAGTCAGCTGTGGACGTAGACAAAGAGAAAGAAAAGAAAAAGGCTGCGGCTGCTGTTCTTCAACAGGAGGCAGAAGATGGTTGGGAAACGGTCGTTAACAAGAAAAAGTCAGTGAAGACGAAGACGCAGTGATTGACGCTTTATTGCCTTTTTAGCTGGGAGGTGAATTGCTAGCACGTAGCGAGTGGACCACTTCAACAAATTTCTTGTACGCAAGGAATGTTATTAGTATACTAACAATAACGCGAGATGGAGCTATCGCAAGAGCTGAGCTGCCATTAATGTTATATCCACGTTTAAACAATAAAATTTAGAAGAATACTTCTAAACTGAGCGAAAAATGAGAATCACTATTTCACTCATACTGGTGCCAATACACAAGGTTACAATTTCGACTGTGGCTTTATAGCGTTAAAAACGACAGGCAACTTCATGGCAAGCGTCATGTTGCCCTTAAGCTTAAGCTTGCCCTTCATAAAAGCCTGATCATCATAAAAGCGTCAGTGAGATTACATCTGTTTGCACCAATTTAACTGCAGTTACCTGCTGTGCATTGAGCTTTCCTAAAGCAATGTCGACAAAATCGGCATCAGAGACCGTTATAGTCACATCAGCTTGCTTAGATCCTTCAGTAAGCGCGGGCGTAGGACTTTTTAGATCTAAGTTCCAGTTGCCAGCTCCCGTAACGTCAAATTGGATAATGCCTTTCACTTTTTTGGACATTGCAACGCCATCTTTAACGATCACATCTCCCAGCAGACTAAAGATTTCCTTTGACTTTGATTTCTCCGTCGGTACCGGAGCAGTATCATCTAAAGGCATAATACTCTTCTTATTCGTTTTCATGTAGTTGCGTGTAGCTGCCAGCACCACGTTCAGCTTCATAGCAAGTCCCATATTGCCCTTGATCTTCAAGACCCCTTTCATGAACGCCTACATCAACTCAGATATCGTATGAGCTCTTGGTTAAAGTAAAAATCATAACCTTTTGCTCACCTGCTGCGGGTTAAGCTTGTTATTCATCATCTTGATAAAATTTTCCTCCGTCAGCGATATGGTGACATCTGCCGTTTCACTAGCAGTCGCTGACTTGACACTACCGTTGCCATTCTTTAGATCGACAAGCCACACGCCAGCACCCCCGATGTCAAACTTGATAACTCCGTTCACTTTTTTCTGTAGTGACGGACCCACTTCGTCGATGGCGGCACTCATCATATCAAATAATTCGGCAGTTCTTGAAGCCATTTTCAATTGCGGCTTAGCGAAACAAAATACTGCGTGCAGCCTCTTTTCACAGTAATTCCGCCTGTAAGTGGTGTGGTCCACATCGACAGATAATGGAATGACTATTGGGCAAGAATATCAAGTTAAAGTTGTAGCTCAAATGAAGGCAAAAAAATCTATCAAGAAATCAAAGTTTTCGACAATTAGTCGCTGGAGCCTTGAATCCAAATCTGTGGTAAACGTCTTTGGCGGTCTTGTTCCACACGTGAGCTGCTTTTTAAACGCCACTCACTTTTTTCTGCGTTGATGGAATCACTTCGTTTACGGCGGCAAGTATGTTCAGATCATCCGAATATAAAGCTGCACATATAATTCATGTATAACATCTCTTCAAGCCTTCAATAATTCAATGGCCACATCACGCAAATTTATAGACTATGGTGAAAGTATACTGACTTTACTAGTTGAATTAATATCACTTTGCTACAGTGCTTTAGTCGTAAAGAAGTTTGCACTAAAGCTTTAGCTAAGTCATGTGCAACACGTCTAGCTTCATACCAAATACCAAGTCCGTCCTTCTTGACAAGAAAAGTCTCAAACCAACTTTATAATCTACAACATCTCACGTGTTGATTTTACTCCCATTGAATGGCACACTCTCCGTTGATTGCGTGATTGTATGATACTAACGTATCAACTATGAAGCTGGCGTATCATCGTCATCTTAAAATTAAGCGCGATTTGTGGTCGCACCTTCGTGCGGCAGCGGCATTGTACTGGCGGTCGTATTCCGTGATCGCAACATGACGATTAGTCTCTCTGGTGGGGCACCTGACTCAGTTGAAATATGGAGAGGCACGTATTGCAGCACGTGAATTGTCGATGAAGAGGCTACCAACGAAACATTGAGATAGATTGCAATCGCATCACTCCTTGAGTAAGTGGTTGCATCCATCATTTCAGTTGGTGGTGATATCTCCACCTGAATTTTTCAGACATGAATTTGGATTCCTCATCAATATCCATTGAGTCGTCTTTTTATCTCATCATTACGTTGGCTGTATGTGGTGCCACAACATAAAAGCGGCCGTTCCAAGGAGATGTAGAGCTCGCGTAACAGGGTTGATGAACATCAGTATCCTGGGCCTTGTGAAGCCGTGGAAAACCGAAGCACTTTGACGGTTTGGAATAATTTTATCGTTTTTAACACGGGCTTGAAGCTGCGATTGTCATGTGCAGTTCATGGAATTGTCCGAAATACTAAGCGATGATATGGTGTCTTGAGCCAAGCTCGGAAGGCAGAAGCGACAGCAAGCCGTGATGCAAAGAGGCTTTCTTTTACCGCGTTCTTCAGTGTGTCGCTTAGCTGAGTAGCTGTAGCTTAAGTCCCCACCGATAAGTTTTAGGGATTTGGCGTTTTTATGTCGCGGTCTGCTCCCGCTAACATGGGCAAGGGCTGTAACTATAAAATATATGTAGAAGGAAAGACCGTTTAGAAATTACAGACATCTCGTTCAAGCCAAGATATAACGGTACTTCTGATTCATCATTAGCGTATGGCTCACTCACCGTGCGGAGCGAGAAATATCAATGAGTTTTTAATGATAGGTTAAATGATGTGACCGGGGTAGTCCCTGAGAACATTAATCTCCACTCATTAACTCAGAAACAGGTTCGCTCGAGAAATTTTCTCTAGAAGATATTTGCAAAACATTGCAGACGGCGAAATCACAAATTACCGGAGGAGGAGTTAAGCTCGTCATCTAACAAAAAAACGTCATTCAATAAATCAACAGCCAACCTAGTTCAAAAAGTTGCCACGAAACCACGCCGTTTCAGTGCCGAATTACTACTAGAATCATAGATATCAGACCTCAGAGCATATATGCTATCAATGAGATTTAGCCGTAGCGAGAATTACCACACCATGTTGTAGCTAAATCGTTGCCTTCACATGGATAACTCGATCCTCTTCTTGAAATTATTCGACAATCACTGCAGGTTTTGACTTTTTCTTCGTGTCAGCAACATGAGCTGGACACTTGCAACATCTGCAAGCTGGGGTCTTATCGAGAATCGTAGTAATGGCTTGTCTACCGCTTACAACCTTATTTTTAAACAAACACGAGTATTTCCCACAACTTGTCCTTCCTTGACAGTGTCCTCCTTTTGCACAATGTACGAAAAACTAACTCGAACTATCGTTCGAATTTTCAGTAAACTTTGCACCGAAAATTTAAGGAACAATTTACGCATTAATTAAGTATCTAACAAGATGATATTTAATTATTAGCTACAATGATCAGTCGGGAGGCTCCATTGGCGGAATTGACACGCGCAGCAGGATTAAACGTCGATGTTTTTGAGACTCCACTGCCGCTTGTAATTGTGTATGGTGGTGCATCATCAGGCAAATCATTAGGTGTATCGCAGTCACTAAAAGCACACTCGTCCCCGTACGCACTCGTAGACTGTACCGCAATTTACTCTGCTAAGGAATTATATCGTGAAGCATTGTCACAATTACGAGAGTCTTCAACAGATCGTGAAGTGGACGATGTGATGAATGTTGGTGATGTTGGAAAAGCTGAAGTCAAAAGTACTTATGAAATACACGACAATGACAAGTTCAGCTCACTCAACTTTTTGAGCTTTTATAAAGCTCTCGATATATTTATGAAGAATAGAGCAAAAGAAAACAAGCCGACTCAACGCGTTTTATACCTTGCACTTGATCATGTTGATAAATTGCTTGACCGAGGAATGGGGACTTTAATTACATGCGCATGTACGCTAAACGACCAGATCATGAATATGAACGTTAGTTTGAATGACATTAGTGCAACATGCTTCAAAGGCTAATGGCGAAACACTTGTGTTATGAAACTAGATATTTGAAGAATATCCGCCGTGGGAGGTCTGCATCATATTAATAACACGAGGAATGTCTTTCGATTTTGACCGACTCGTGATGCCCTTTTTCCCTGCTTACGTGCATTTTCCACCGTACAAACCAGGTAGAAGGAAGTAGGAAATGACATCCAGAAGTTGTAATTATGCTTACTTCATCACGTTTATAGGTCAATTAGCAGATATTTTGGTACAGCAACTTGGCTTTGGTGATGCAAATCCATCGTTTCGAACTTGGCTAGTGCATGTCCATGGATTATTACCACCGACTCCAGATGGTGATTGGCTTGACTTTCGTGCTGCTATCGTCCACTTGCTGCCCGAATTTCGTAAGTTTTTCATATCACCTGTTCAAGAAGAAAACGCTTTAAAATTAAAAGCTCAACTTGAGCGTGAGACCAAACGCCGTATGCAAGCCTTTTTAAAAACGCGGAGACGGCATCTTTTTGGATATCACAAGCTGACAAATGAAGTGGGTGATCCGTCTGAGCTAATTTCATGCACAAATCTTAGTCGAAACTGCCTTTTGCTCGTGCTTGCTGGGTATCTGGCGTCGTTTAATCCTCAAGAAACCGACGTGCGTTTTCTCTCTTCTTCTGGTGGACAGCGTCGTAAAAAGCGTGCAAAAAGAAATGCCAAAGGTGAAACAAATACAACGACTGTAATGACCAGCAATAAGAAGCAGAAGATCAGTCAGCTACTTCTTGGTCCTCGAGTGTTTACATTACAGCGACTGTTGGCCATTTACCTTAATCTACGCATTGAAGCTGAGGCTGATAATTCGTCTTTTGACGATTCTCTATCTTCTGAAACGCGAGAAGAAGTTTTCACTCATGTAAGTTATCAATCGTGAATATCATGTCTGTTCTTGTCTGACATAAGTCGTGAATAGCTCGCAACACTCACTCGAATGCAGCTATTTCAACGGACGACACCACCACAGTTGCTCGACAATATAAAGTTTCGCTGTCTAGCTGACGCTCGCTTTGTTCAGGAATGTGCGCAGTTTTTATCATTTCCCTTAGAAGCATATCTTAATCGATCAACATAGTACAACATTGGAATAGGAAAAGATAGATTGAATTTGCATAACCATGTTAGTGCTTTTAACACTCACGATAAAGAATTTTTTTGTCAGCATAATCCAGAGAATCGACAAGTGGCGTGATTATAGCAATCGCGTCAGATCAATTGGAGTTTGGTGTTGAAGAAAGTTGTCAAGCGTTATGTTTGCATCACGCAAGAATGGATGTTTTAACACATCCTTTGGCGTCACGCGTTTATAGGGATCCTTTTCCATCATCAGCATTATCTGATTGTATTGTTCACTGTGAGCAAAACTACCGATTTCAGAAAGATCCAGTACGCACCATATCCTTTGCTTCGTCTGAGATACTATTCCACTCTGGTTCTTCAAACTCATAGTCGACAAGCTTGTTCATTTGAATAAGCTCTTCATTATTCACACCGAAGAAAGGCTCATAGCCACACAACATCGTGTAGGCCACCACACCAGCAGAAAACATATCGACGCCACTAGGATATGCTTCACCTTTACCTGCGCACAAAATCTCCGGAGCAACAAAGCCAGGAGTTCCACATCTGCAATGTAAATCGAAACAATTTAGTTATGTGTAAAAGATATGATTACGCTAAGGATCATACCTGCCCTTCAGCATTCCATCCTTTTGGATAAAAGCTGCCATCCCGAAGTCAGCAACCTTGATCAGACCGAACCTACCCAACAACAATAAGGAAGTCGCAATTAGATGCAACCCATACTGAAAAACATATAATAGTCTACAAACTCTTTGCCGCTGGCGTTGCACTGATAGTCCAGCGCAAGATTCGAAAGTTTCACGTCTCGATGGGCAACGCCATTTCGCTGACAAAAATCAATTGCCCGGACGAGACTTGCAATTAAATAAGAGGCACGCATCTCATCCACTGTACATTTTGTCGCAATCTCTTCATGCAGATCTCCGTCTCTCATAAGTTCAAGCTCCAGAACCAAATGATTGCGCGTCTCAAAGAGTGATTGAAGTCGAATAATTGGACAATATGAAGAGCCCGATCGGACCGTCAATAGACTCTGCGTCAGAATTTCGCGCACCACTGTGTCTTCGCGTTCTGTTTCACGCGCAACCAAATCCCAGAAAATATTTTTCTCAATGATCTTAAGAGCACAATCACGTGACTTAAATTCATTTTCCACGTCTCGTTTTCGACGAGCACGACGAACGACCGAAAATCTTCCTTTTCCAAGCTCAAAACTCTTTGAAGATGATCGAGTTGGCGATTCGGGGTGGAGATCAAACAAGTCATCGATCTGCAGCTTGACAGCATGTGCAAGCATTTCCTTCCACACCATTCCCTGTTTTGCCGACTCAAACGCTAGCCATAATTCACCGCATGCAGAGACTTCAGATGATTGAGTATGGTACTTCAGAACAAACTCGGTCGAGCTTCGCTGGTGCACCAATCCTTCCGATATATTAGCGTGACCTACCGGTCGACTTGTCTTGTTCGCATCTAAGTATTCCCAAAGGTTATTACGATATAGGGACAAATATCGTCTACTCCACTGGCTGCCTGGAACTCTTACGCGAACATAACCAGTGATTGCCAGCCCATACAACTCAGGATCTGACAAGAACGACCAATTCTTTTCACCAAATTCATGTTGACGTAGTTGTTCAAAGACGTCAGTAGGCAAATCGGTGGCCAAACAGGATAACAACCACGAGTCTGGATGCCAAGACGAACGTTTGCTTCCGTTTGAAGTGACAAGTTCACTCAGCATCGGTGCAAGATCCTCGCTAACCATCGAGTTGTCTTCAGCAATAATGTTCATTTCAAATGGTAATCGGTCCACATGCTGCTTCGTATGGTTCAACGGCCGTTGTTTCATGCTACCAAAATTGCTACCCCCGCAGACACTCACTTCGTCGCCCAGAAAGGCATGAGTGCTGTTAGCCATGTTGTTATTGTGAATTGTGGTAAAGCATTTTCTCAGCACTGTGTCAACACCTGATGCGACTGGAGAAGGCGAAGGAAGCAGCGCACTTTCAAGCAATGGACACGCCACTGTAATGTGGTTTCCTTGGCAGTTCGCACAAGTTTGCGAATCTCGACGACGACTGTTGATTCGTGGCAAACCCTTTGCTAACAGAGTCGCTGGTAGCTTAATTTCGCCGTTTTCCGATGATGTTGGCGACGAATGAATCAATGAAGACGTCAATACCGGCGATTGGTTTCTTTCCTCGCATGACATGGAATGTGCTCGATGTCGACCAGCAGCAGCAACAGCAGCCATAACAACTGCCTGATTGGACTTCTGTCGTGTGTCTTCTTCCGCTTCGCTCGAATCATCTGTGGTCAAGGATTGCTCTGCTTCATCAGAATCCAAATTGAACAGCGACTGTCGATTGTCGATGTTGTAAACACTAAGAGTAGCATCGAAGTTACTCATATAGAACATCACGTGATTATTTCTGCATTATATTCATGCAGAACCTTACCTAATGTCCATTTCAGTGTGCATACTATTCATCATAAGTCGCTGGAGTAGCATGTCCATTTGCAATTCCCACGGTTTGTTAAAAATGGAAAATTTTGGTCCATGTGGGCTGTTCGAGCCACCAGTATCTCCCTCGGAGCTCTTATAATGCGACGTTGTAGATAGATCACCATCATCACAAACAGTCGAAGCTCCGCTGCTATTGTGTAACTCTGTGTCGATCTCTTTGTGCTGCTTAACACAATTTCACAAATTAAGTCTCCGTTTTTCCCTTTCTTTGACTGCAGGTACAGCACTTTGCACTTACCAAATTAATCTTGACAGCCGTGTGTGTAGCCAAATTCCCTTTTTTATGAATTAATTTAAAGCAACTGATGCAATAGGCATCATGACAGCAGCCGTTACAGCTAAGACTTGCGGTATGTAATTCGCAGTAAACGCAGAGCGGACGTGGACCTTTGGCAAAGATGCCGTTTTCCTCAGCATCCGGCTCATCTCCAGACTCAGTACCAGTTATCATGTGAATACGCTGCATGAACCAGAGACGCCAACTAGCGTTTTCAAGGCGTACGGCTTCGTCCACAAAACGTCGCATGGTGCTAAACGACTGCCATGACTTCTTGGCAGCGTGGTCAAAAAGAGCCACATCGTCGATCATGGTAATGACTCAGATTAAATGTTGCAGCTAATTGATGCAAGGAAGATCGAGATCTACTGCGCCAAGCAAGCGTGCAAAGCATACGTGGGGTTCACTCTTGGTTCAGTTCAGCTGACCTATAAGAAATAATACAGTAACCTAAATATTAAATGATCGGTTTTAAACGCTCAACAGTTACATAATTAATTACACATCCTTGATGATTCTACTTGCTCTGTATTGTCTGATTGATTAAGAACCGTGTGACTCTTGCAGTATGAAGGATACGTATCGTAAGGACTAGCATACCAAGCACCAAAATTGTTGAATTGGAAAAGATTGATACTTATGAAGATCGTTACATATGTAATCGCGAAGCTCAAACTATATTTTTGTAGCGAAGAAATTGGATTTTACGGCATAGATAATGTACATGAAGCCACATATCCAGACTGCCACGCCATATACTCCATAAAAACCTATATGGGACGTAAACATCGCTTACGTCAACTCGTGAAGCACGCCTTCTTGAACATGTTACAAATAGTGAAGGAGTTTGCCCAAAGTACAATCAACGCCATAATCGGCTTATTTGTACTACAAAGTGAGTATAGTGTGGGCCACAGTAATCGTGATATTGTCATGATTAGTGTGCTTCTGTAATTGAACACCACTCTAAAGATGAACCCATACTAAAATTAGTCGCCATATTTATAGTATTCATCGCTACTAGAAGAGGTTACGGTAGCAGCTGCCCAGTGAAAGCCCTCGATCGTAAAAGCTTAGTTAGGGTAGCATAGATGTGCTGAATTCAAGAAAATCTTGGCGATGTATCCAGCCTTTTGGTCGCTTCGACTACACATGCTACGCCAGGCATGTACATTCTTCAGATAGAAAAAAAATAACGTCTCTGTTTTCATCGAATAAAAAGCTTATCGCTTAGTAAATAATCTTACCACTTATACGAAAATATTAAATGCTAGGAGAAAAAGAAAAATAGATTCTCTAGTTTCCTCTCCAGAAACTTATACTTGAATTTTCGGCAGAACAAGTTCAGAAAATGAAAGCTTAACCCAAATTGTATACTGATTTAATATCCCTCTACCAAATTTATCAAGCCGTTTTCTACCACAATCAGAGCTGCGCATATGCCGCATTGCTCTCTAATTTGAACAGAATCGAAACAGGGAGGATTCAATTTTATTTCAAGCGGATCAACTTGTATAATTTCTGGAAATCAATGTCACCTCAACACAAAATCTCCGATTCTAGCTCTGTGGTCAAAAACATACTCGTTTGCTTGACAAATTATTAAGAGGCGTTGAGGGATATGCGCCTAAAAGCGCATGAGCCTGAGCCAATCATACTCCCACACAAACTGTCTCTCATAGGCGTAGCCCATTCGCATTCTGTTCCGGTGTTCGGCACATTCGATCGTTTCTTCGTGAGGTTTCTCATATAAAGTAACAGTTTCGCCAGTTCGATAATTTACAATAGCAAGAAAGTTAGTTAACAGAGAATACAGCTACCGTGTCGCTTTGACAACAAAAAGATAATCATGATAATGCTATGACCCAGTGATGCTTAGCAGAAACATTGTCGTTAATATCTTTGATCGTCACTTAGCTTGCAAGATATCTTCGTGTCACAGATTGAATCTTCTTTTTGTTTGGACCAGTTTTGAAAAAATCATGAAGTTTTTGCGATGGAATGTTTAAGGTCAATATGATAATCGGAAAGGTTCTTCCTATTAGCAGGTGATATCTGCTCAGATATATTGAGCTAGTCCACGACGTAGTTTGACCAAATAAATCTGTGCTTTGCTTGAAAAAGTATTTTATTTTTTTCAACAACCTTTGAATAGGCAAATAATAGTCGTACATTTACTATGCACCCACCAATTCATTTCGCACACCTCGAAAAATGGTAAATCTATGTCAGTCAAACATTTACGTCGCCACTGCGGTATAAAGCTTATGCCTTATAAAAAATAACTTTACATAAGATTGTCAACTCAAAAGCCGAAATTTTACTTTCGAGTCTGCTTTAACAAAAAAAGCGATGGTCACAGATGAAGATGTTAAAAAAGACACTTGATGAGGAAAGGGCAGTCTTGTGGCTGCTTTATGTATAAAAAACAGGTACATAATATGAGTAGAGGTCAATGCATCGGGGTTGAAGTGAACCTTGCAGGAAGAAAGCTTCTATTCAAATTTTTGCGTCGACATTTGAACAGAGAAAAGGTTCATGCGCCGTACCCAGGAATGCTTTCAGAGGAGCGACATATGATTACAACTAAATCTGTGTAGACTCAGTGGTTGAGCACGAGAATGGGCACTGACGTGCGGCCCTTCGGTCGGAGCTGCGTTTCCCTCCTGGGCAGAGCTGAAATTGCAGCTCTCACGATTGTTCTCGCTGCCTAATCAGGCATATCGCGTGCGATCGCGTTTCCTTGCCGCCCAACAGAGCAACAAGGAATTGGTAGACTTTGTCCAAGAGTTGCGAACTCTCATTGCCGGGATGGCAGCAGATCCCCTCCCAGAGGCGGTCACAATGACCGTGTTTATGGAAGGCCTCCGCACTGGCGTGACCAGAATGGAATTTTTCCGTGTGCATCCGTCCTCATTTGAAGAGGCGGTAAATGTGGCACTGAATGTTGAAATTCGGCACGACTTGGTTTAAATGCACACTCCAACAGCTCGTCGAGCGGGCCTATGCCCATGGATCTCAGCTATGCT